TTAACTGTTCAAATATTTAAATTTTTAAATTTGATTAAAAATTCAAAACCTAAATGTGCGATTAAGCTAATGAAATATAAATTGAGACAAGAGTCCATATAAATAAATGGGTTCGACTATGATACGGAAAGAACATCGATCAATAATTATGATGCTGCCAACACAGCGATGTAGATGCAGACACATGGCACGCACATGGAGCCATTGCTCTAATATATTCCAAAATGCATCCTTCCATCATAACCCAACACCCTGACCACAACTACCTCTACTTGTACGGTGTACATATAGGATTGTTCCAACCTCCTTCCTTCCAACTTTCTAAGTGGGTGTCATTATGATAACGATACGATGGGTTGCAATTTTTATTTATTTTTGTTTTAAATTTTATCTTATTTTATTTCATTATCAAGTAAAATAGTACCTGAAGCAAAATAAAGAAAAATCTCAATTAAATCAGAATTTACACTCTTTGCTGTCACACTCCTAGAGTTGTCAATGAGTCGGGTCTCACCCGGTGGACTCGATGGATCTAAATCGATTGAACTGGTTCTGATTCTAGGTACTGAAATTGATGAATCGGTTTTAAGTTTTTATATATTGTCTCGATTATTATTGATTTAGAATCAATTTCATCTAGTCCTGATATATAAAAAAAAATATATATATATATATATATATTAAATGTATATATTTATTTATTTATTATAATTGTATTCATCAGATCAGACTCGATTGTCTTGAAATTTGACCGATTTGATTCTTGATTTAAAAATTACAGATTCTATCGAGTCCAATTCGAAACCGACTCATTGACAACCCTAAACACTCTGTAAAATCTAATCCAACAAGAATTTACACTCTTCGCATTCACACTCCCATGAATTTATACTGTGCAAATAAAGTTTGACTGTAACCAAACGCAGCCTATATTACCAACTTCTAAAATGCATGCAGTGTAAAGTGCACGACTTCATTAATGAAATACAGTGATTGTGACGTGAAATTGATCCATCAATTTCGAAATGTATTTGAGCCTTGAAATCATCTGTGTTCTTAAACTAACCAAATGTTAAGATAGTACTGGTGCTACAAAGTGTGTTTAATTCATCCCTATCTAGTATCGAATGGCTTAAAAAATATCTCATGCACCATTGTGGCTCCTGGCAATGCCACCTCATTTTATTTCATTTGTACTGGTATAAATGTACCCTAGCACAAGTTAAAAAAGTAAGAAATTTTGGTTCATTTTTACTTTGGTTTAAGTTTCAAATGTACTTGTACTCACATAATGTTGCATTAATGTAAATGAAATTGTAATAGAAACAAATTAGGCTTGTGGTTCATACTTGGCCACAACTGTTCTGTTTGTTTTTGTTCTCCTTTGGTTTTTCATTTACCGCAAGAATTGCTGTATCAGGAAATTTATTCAAAAACAATTCTTAAACAATGCATAGTCGCTTTTAGATTCATTCACCAATAACTCTTTGTTATCTACAAATGTGTTGTCACTTCTCATGGTACCCTATCAATCACAAATGTAGATATCATTTCAACTCATTTCAATGAAGAATTGCCTAGAATTTACATCTACAGCACTTGTAATAAGAATTGATCTGTTGCAAGTTGGAGGTGTTAGAATGGTTAGGGACTAATCAGAGAGGACATAGGCTGAAATAGTAAGAAACGGTTTCCACACTAATAATTTAACAGTGGATATGACACAAACAAAATGAGGCTGTGTTTGATTGCATTACAATTTTATTTGCACTATTATAAATGCATGGGAGTGCAAATTCTGGTTTAATTTTATTTTGGGTTTTACTTTGTTTTAGTTCAGGTCATATTTTATTTCATTTCTATCATAATTAAACAATATAAGATAAAATTTGAATAAAAAATAAATCAAAACTTCCATCCAAATCATTTATATCATCAATGTAAATAAATTTGCACGGCAACCAAACACAACCGAAATGACAAAACAGTATTCATATAACCGACCCATATGTAGGGTTGCCAAACCGTGGGGTATTTTTTCAAACCGAGCCGACCTGATCAGTTTTTTAAATATCTAAACCGAAACTAAACCAATGCAATCGGTTAACTAGTTCAGCGATTAACCGGTGGTGATTTGGTTTTTTGGTTTTTTTATGCACTTAAAATATAAAAATAAAAATAAAAAACTAAAACTATCAGTGGTTGTTGTCGGTGCCGGACTGGTTGGTGTCAGTGCCGAACTGGTTGATGCCGGTGGTTGTTGTCGGCTGTCGCCTGAAGTGAAAGCTTGAGAGGTGGCACTTGGCAGAGCTGCAGAGATGAGAGGTGAGAGAGAGAGAGAGAAGAGAAATACACTTACAGAGATCAAAGATGGCATTGGTGCTTGCTTGTCAGCGAGGCAGCGACCATCGTTGTCGCTTAGTGCTAGTGGTTGGTGCAGGCTGCGCGACCATCCGAGGAATACTAAGAGTCAAAGAAGAGTAAGAGAGACTGAGAAGAGAAGGGAGAGAGACAAAAGAAAAAAGACTGAAAGAGTGAGAGAAGATATGGTTTCAAACTTCAAAGAGACGAAAGGCTAAGTGAAAAGTTTCGATTTTCAAAGAGAGTCAAGAGACTAAGCCTGAGAGATTGGCAGTGTGGCACTCTGCCACTCTGATAGATTGCTGAACTTTCAATTGGGTCAAAGAGAAAGGCTGAAACTGAAAGTCTCTCAAACTGAACTGTCCGCCAAACATTTTTGAAAAATAAAAAATATAATTTATAATATTATATAAATATTATATATATACATGATACACCAAACAAAAAATGAAAATGTCAAGGGAATGGATATAATTTGATTCAGCAAAAGTACTTTGAGGGAATGGTATGAGTTCAGAATCACATTAAAGAACAACTAGTGGGGGTTTGAGACAATACATCAAGAAAACCAATAAAAATTTATGCAGAAGAGTAGACAATAAATTTTCCATTGTTTTATAAATCACTAGTGGGCCCATGCAATGCATGGGAATACTCGATATCCAATATACGAAGGGATTAAAATGAAATGCAATTAACAATATATATTATTGCCCTGGAAAAATATTTTTATCTAATAAATACTTAAATAAATAAATAATTAATTAATCAAATACTATTAATTATTTAATAGAAACGGAGTCTATATATTGACTAACAATTAATCTAGGATAATATATTTAGTAAAAAAATAGGGCCGGCCTTTATTAATATCAATTTCTTTTAATCTTCAACCACTACTAATCTAAATTAAATAAATATATAAATTAACTTAACCACATACAGGTATAATCGATCTAGGTGCCTTTTGCTTCGATATAGACTACTTTAACATAACTAATTAAGCTACATTAATTAAACTGACCTATCTAATCTAACCAGCAGGGGCCTCATGCAACTCACGGGTTTTATTAAACAAAATCCAAGTTGAAGGACCCTTGTGACATTTTCAATTGAATAAAGTCAAATTGATTCCAACTCAGTAATTATTTTTGGGTTAATTGTTGTTCTATAAACTTGCATTAACTTTTCAACTTTAAATGACTAATTTAAAACATCTAATAAAATGTTAATCGTACATACATACTAATACATATTAGCTTGTTTTCTACTATTTATCAATACCTATTTTAATTTTATGGCTAACTTCATGTATTGGTATACTATTAATTATTAATTTATGCATATCTATTCTTTATTAATTTAATATATTGGCACCCTAGAATTTAGGAATGTCAACAGGGTGGAGATCATACACTCCATCCTTATCCTTGATCCCTGAAGAGAAGAAAAATGATCCTCCATCCCAATGAAGACAAGTTCTCTATTAGGGACCTGAATCCCTTTTTTTTTTTCCTTTCTGAGTTAAAAGCTTGTTTTGGAAAAAAATAGTATGTCCAATATATATAATGGCACTATTGTAATTATATAGAACTATTTTCAGAATTTTTTCAATTAGTCTCATTATCATGGTAGTAACTTCACTCCCCATCTCTATCCTTGTCCTCGATCAGTACCCCAATGATTCCCCGCCATAGAAATCCCCACCCCCAATCCGATTGCAAGTATCCCAGTTAACTAAATTAAGTCGTAAGACGTTTATTAAATCATGTTAAGTAAATAACTAATTTTGTCAAAAAAATAATTAATAGGAGTTCGTGATTATTTATTTCTTTTACTCTTCTAAAAAACATTTTATTTTCCTCTTTCTCAACTTAAAAAGTGACAACTGTTTTCTAAATTCATAACTAAGAAGAAGATAATTAACTTATGTTGCATGCTGGTCCAAGCACATTATAGAGCAAAAAGTACATACAATAAAGCACTGAGATAAAATCAGAAAGCAACATTAATAGAAATTATTATATAAACTGGTCCAAGCACATTATTCAATCTTAATGGTTGAAAATTTTTCAGTAGTTAATTATTATTGGGTAATGATAAATGAATGCTAATTAATGGATTACAAGCCACAGTTAGTGAGCAAATTTTAACAGGAAGAATGGATTCAGTAGTTCTATCATCTATGGGCCCTGTAACTCAAATAACAGAAAAATGCACAATCTTAGAGTATGTATTTTAGTGAACAAATTAACACTCCCCATACCCTAATCTATTAACTGACGTATAATAACAGTATAATAGCTGTTTTTGTAGTTTTGAAGAAGAAGAAGAACAGGAACAAGAAGAGTAGAGATTAATGACTATATTTAATTAGAATAAAACCCCTAACCCTGATGCAGCGGGATTGGGATTGATCCCAATAGTCTCCGGTGCAAGTCTACAACCAGCCAGTTAATTTGCTTTGGCACCTTAATTGCGCTTTCCTTCCCAAATGAATCCATGAAATTTATCTTTAATTTGCATATATCATCAGAAAATTAACAGCCAATTAAGGAGGTGGGTTGGGAAACTATTAAAGGTTCCTTTCTCCCATTTCCACCCAAAATTCGGAGCAATTTAATGTGATAATGCAGAAATTAGTACAAAACAAATGGAAATTTATGAAATAGATAAGTAGATAAACAACCAAATGGAATAAAAATGCGGTATTATGATTCACACCAGTCACCACTTACGTAGTACGTACAAGTAGGAGGGGGAGGGGGAATGGGGGGAAATTTGGCGGATGAGCAAGTACGGAGTACTAAACACACAGCTGTGCACATTAGAGCCGTGTGACATATATCTGGCAATGGACTAATGGTACTTCCGCCAGTGCCAAAGGTCGTTTATTCCGTCCACGTCGTACTGCTGCTGGAACGCGTCCAATTACAGCAACTCCAATAACATAATTCCGGCAAATATTCTGTGACTGTCTCCGACCAAACTGCCTTCTCACCGTTGATCAACTCCGGTAACTCAATCTCAGCCCAGAAGTCATCGCCATCGCTGTCAGATTTCTCGTTGTTGCTGCTGCTCCCCTTGTTCTCTGACAATATGGCCTTGGCTGCAGCCGCAGCTGCCATCTGAATATCCCTGGCCGTGCATGTGGACGGGCGTGGGAGCAGCTCCGCTTGCTCTGGGAAATTGAGGAGAGCCTTATGTCCCTTGAGACAATAAGCAGCGACATCGTAAGCCCTGGCGGCCATCTCCGGCGTGGGAAAAGAGCCAAGCCATATTCTGGACTTCTTTCGAGGCTCCCGAATTTCGGAAACCCATTTCCCCCACCGTCGTTTCCTGACGCCTCGATAAACCGGGTGTCTGGTGCCTCCCGTCCCGCCGTCGGATTTCGGGATGTTGTGTCCGGAATCCGGGGACGTGGTGGTGAGACCTTCTTGTGGGTTTGTGGTGGGTTTCTCCATTGAAGGAGGAGGAGGAGGAAGAGACGCTTCTGTTGCAGCAGTTTCAAAGATTTATAAGACGTTACTTAGAATTGGATCGTTAGAACTCAGAAGAGTTGTTTGGCATTTTCTACTGCCATCAACTTTCTACCGTTACCATCATGACTAAACTGGTAAACTACACTTCACGCTGACTGGTTGTTTTTCTTACTAAAAACAGAAAGGGAAAGCTGGTTTTATGGGGAAATGACAGGAAATGATTTCTATACTATCTACCTTCTGTTAATTAATTAACAACCTGGGGGCTGGGGATACATCAGTTTAACCGATTACCGCGAGAAAATTGCTTCCTTTTTTTTTCATCCAACCCAGATTGACGTTGACAACCACCCCAGAGCGACTACGACCAGGGATAATGCTTGACACATGGCCGATAGGCCTAAACAGTGATTTCTTCTTCCTAGTTCCTTCTTCCAGGAAATATATAGTTTGATTTTGATATGGTAAGGAAGAAATAATTCTCGGGAAGCTCTGAATTTGCACCGTGCAAGGTTGGACGCCTCACATGCAGACGCAGTTGATATTTGATAACACGAGATGTAAATGAGCTATTCTCTCTTTTTTTCCCCTCTTTAATCTCTATATGGCTTTTGGCTTTTTCTGGGGATACTAACATCTCCCATCGATTCCTTCTCTCTGATCATGTATATATGAGATTGGAGTGGGTCGTAATTAGAAGTTTCTAATAGCAATCGGAAAAAAAAAAAAAAAAAAACATTCAAGTTACCCAATACCCCGTCAAAAGATTAATAAACCACCACCCCCTAAATTTTTCTGAAATCAGTTAGTTTTATCTTCAGTGTACAACTTATTCAACAAAACCAAGAGGAGGGATTTATACTTAAAAGAAGCAAATTTTGGTGTAACATGTCATGTGCAGAAACTTCAAAAACGGCTCCGACTAAAAGGCAGTTGTTTTTTTCGTCAAAACATGTTTGATTTAACATGAATTAAAATTTTACTAGCAAATTTTGAATTAGTTTTCTTCGTCTCACAATAGTCTTATTTATACCTGGCAAAAAGTTGATCCAACCCGCGAACCCAACTCAATTCAACTCAAAAAAACAGGATTAGGTCTAATATTTAGCAATCTGAATGTGAGAATGACCCGATCAGATCTAACCCGGAAAAAATTGGGTTGGGTCATGGATCAACCTGCTGATCCGATTGTCAAGTCTAATTGGGATTATTTATGCATTGTTAGAAGTTTCCATTCTTTAATTTTTTTCTATTTAGTCTTTATTCTTTAATGTTCTCTTTAAATTATTAAATGTTTAAATTTTTTTTTATTTTATGTTTGAAATTTTAAGGTTAATTTCTTTAATTTTGACATTTTTTTATGTAGTTTTTCTTTATTTTTTTTAAATTATAGTTATTTTTTGGGATTACCCAAATTGACCTATGAGTCAATCTTAACCCAAATATTTAGAGTTAAAGTCTAACATTTAATAACCCAACCCGAAATTCAATCCCAAAATATCTTGACCCAACCCGAATCCGATCCACCCAACCCAATTGCCAATTCTAATCTTATTATATGCACGTGCTTGATTTCAGTGAGGAAATGACAAACCGTCTTAGCAAAGATGAGATACACCCGTGACACCCGTCAGAACCACGATGAAAGAAGTTTTTCTGTTTTTTTTTTTTAAAGTCTTTGTCATTAAATGCAATTTCTTTTTTATCCTATTTTGCTGTTTATAATTTTAATATCTTATAAGTTATAAACCCTCGGGCGCCCTAAACAGAGAATTTGTCTTTTCGGTACAAAAAGTTGTACACAAAAACATTAAGAGTGAGAAAGTGTGCCCTGGCCAGTCACCCAGTGCGAGATAAGGCTCTAAATGATTCTGCTTCAATCCATATATAATTGGATCGAATAAGGATTCGTATTTAGTATTTTATATTTGTATTTATTAATAAAATGTTTACTTATAAAGACTCAAGATCTATTAACAAAGAACAAAACCGACCAATAACTGACAGGTTTTGCCAGGGAGGTTAATGGATAAAATGAATAAAATGATGGTGATTTAGGGAGTTTGTAAGCAGGTCCGTCAGTAGTGTACCACATTTTACGGACAAGGGAAGAGGTCACCCGCTCTAGTCATCAGTCACTTTCTAATGCATCACCACATCTGGGGTGTGTTCGGTATTATTGTAGAAAATAAGAGAGAAAAAGAAAGTAGAGAGAAAATTGAATTTTTAAAAAATTTTGTTAAGAGCATTTTTTTCTTTTCAAATTTCTACTTCTCTCATTTTCCATCAAATTAAACCTAGAATATTCTTGGACTGTCTCTTTGAATTAATGAATCAGACTGCACTAAGTTTCACGAAATAATATTACTTTTGGTCCATGTAAAGAGAGAGAAAGGTAAATAGGAGGATGGATTGTGTTAGTGCCAGAATTTGTTACAAATGTGAAATTGGAAGTTTGCTTAAGACCTCGGCTTGGCAGCTTACTGGAAGGTTAACTCTAAATATAAAGAAACATCAGAGATTTTAGAGTGTATGGACATTGATGGTCAAGCCAATAATGTCAAAAGTAGAGGGTCTCACCTATTTATAAAAGGAGAGCATTCTCCAAGAACTGGCATGCCATTCATTCAATCCACTTGTCATGCCCTTAGTTGGCACACGTCGTGTCTAACATGCCTCCACATGCATGTCTACATGTTGTTTTCCAACTTTGATCAAACACTTGTGTCATGAGCAAGTATCATATGAGATTAGCTACCTCAATTTGCCTTAGGTTGGCTCGACCTTCTAGAAGCGTGGGTACTTTTTAGGACCAATTTTCAAGAAAAAAAACTCATGCTTTCAAGACTTATTTTTCACAAAAAAAAAAAAAACATTTCTGCTACATAGACAGTGAGCAATACTATGCTGTTTGGTAAGGTGATTTTCATCACCGTTTTTCATGTATGTGTTAACAGGTAAGCATCACATAGGATATACATTAGTCAACCATTGGGGAAAACAGTTCACCGGTGCATGAAACGTCAATTTGGCGTTTCATGCATCGGTGGGGTCCCGATTTTCGAGGCATGTCTGATTTTTTAATAATCGGCTAAACCAAACAATGAGATACATGGGTGTTTGTTAAAACRYCTATGTGAATCCGACGTGGCACCGTTTTTCTGAAAAATGGTCACGGTTCCAGACATCCCCTAAGGTGATATGACCACTTTCCTGAGTTTTGACAATATCAAATTCTACTAAAACTTGGGTTATTGACATCCCATTTTTTTATTTGGAAAAAAAATAATTTTTATTTTCCTTGTTTCAATCATATATTTTAGCTCTTAAGGGGATCTCTGTGATGCCTAATAAACAAAATCATCATGTCTCCACATTTTCTTGAATGTTACCATTTAAAGATATTTAATAATTTTGCCTCCTTTACATAATTGTAATAGCAGGCCCCGTGCAATATACAAGAACACTTAATATCCATTATATCGGCAAAAGGGATAAAAAAAGAATTATAGACATTTGGTCATGTTTGGTTCAATTCTCATTCTTTTTCGTTCTTACTCAAGATAAAACTTTAAAATGGATAAAAATGGGTTAAAATCGGTAGAATGAAAAACTATTACTATGAACCAAACACTTTTATCTTAAAAATGAATTCTTTTCAAACTGGTCCCTACCATATATTGCTTATTTTCATCTTTAAACAAAATTATGTTATTTTATAATTAAACGCTCTAATGTTATTCATTCTTACCTAAATGAACTAAAATAAAAAAAAAAGTCCTAAAGGCCAGAGCAACAAACCAAGCATGGCCTGAATCAATTGCTCATCAAGAAAAAAATAGTGGAAGAATTCATAAATTAATGTAAGTTAGACTAATTGCTCTTGAAAAGAAATAATTAGTACTTTAGTAGTAGCAAATTATATGAATAGTTAATCAACTATTAATTTCATATAAGTTAATTAACTGGTAATTTTTGTTGTTTATGTAATTTCATAGATTTTCTGGAGTGCATCACCAAACAGACCCTTAGACCCGACATCCTGGAGATGGCATTTCCATTTATCCCAGGAGATCTTTTCCCGAACCCGACCCAAACGTCGTCAGCATGGCGCGATACCTTTGGCTGCCAATCCAATAATGAACAGACTGCGTACTGCCTAATAGATACCCAAAACTAGCTCTTGTCAGTTCATGTGTGTGCTGTTGCATCATATTAATATCGCCCTCAATACCCCCGGTACGGAGCCACACCGTGTGAGTATGATGTGAGAAAGGTGCACCTTTTTTTTTGGGAAATTATCTAAAATTTACCATAAATTCTCAACATTTTCTTTAAATTCACAACTTTTCAAAATGTTTAAAATTTACAATGTCCGTATATTTTTATTTTTCAAAACTCCCATTCCCTTAGTAAACCGTTAATGATTCTTAATAGAGGTGTCAACGTCAGCATAAATAATAATTTTCATGACCAAATTACCCTTAAATGGCGARTTGGAGGAAAAGGATGCACTTATTCGAGATTTTTTTTATCTTTTTTTGTTTTCGATTTTTTTTTTGCATTTTCAGTGTTTTGTTATAATTTTCAATGTTTTTATAACTTCTATTTTTTTACATTTTTCTATTTTCTCCGATCTATAAGTTTTCTGTATTTTTTGTTATTTACTTGCGATTTCTGTGTTTCTATAATTTTTTATGTTTAAATCTTATTTTCTGATTTTGTTTTTCAATTTCTATAGTTTTTATAATTTGAAAATAATTTTTTATTTTATTTGCAATTTTTTATAATTTTTATATTTTTGTAATTTCCATGTTTTTATGTATTTTATATTTGAAAATATTGTTTGAACTTTTTCTTTTTTTTTCATGTCTAAATATTAAAATATTTATCTATGAAGGTTAAAATAGTAATATATTAACACCCGTTAGTCTATTTAACGTCTAGTGACATGATGAGTTATAGATATTTTAAAAAGTTGTAGTGAGTTTAAGAGAAATGTGAAAAACTCATGGTGAATTTTAGACAATTTCCTTTTTTTTTTCATTTTTCTGATAAAAACTTGCAGCACTTTTACGTGCACATGGTTCTTGCTTGGGCCTTTTTTGGGTGGAGTTTTGGGGGCTCAACTCAAGGCTCAATCTGGGCCTTAAATTAAAGATTGAAGTTGGACTGATGTATTTAACAGCCC